TTTTTTCTTCTTGTAATTAGGAGCGCTTGTCCTCCTAATTAAAAAAAATTAAGGAGCACCTTCTGATCAATAATCAAACATTCTGATCAAAAATTAGCCTTCCTAATATGAGGTGAAGTGATTTACAGGGGCATTTTCTTTTTACCTTTGTAATGGCATCATTTTCATCTGTCAAATTCAAAAATGTATGTTTATGAGCTTTTTAAAATTTCTATTTAAAACTAAATTAAAGTGATTATTACATTTTGAATATGGATATTTTTCTTACAAAAACGCATCAATTGATTAAAGGAGGCCTTTGTTTCAGCGCGCTCTTCAATCCGCAGACTGAAGGTTATGAAATGTATCCAAGATACTAATGAAGTTAAAGGAATGTTTATTGTGAATTGGAAAATAACTCATAGAAATAGTTATCTGAATTTAAATCAAGATTTACCATGGACTGACAGCTCAACCGTATGGTAGAGTTTTATATAAAACAATTTTTTTTTTTAAAGTATGACCCAGATCGTGAAATACATTTATTAGCCTTAGAGTAAGGGAAGCACAACTCGGGATATGAGAGCATCCGAGGAGCATGTGAATGCTATGTATATTTACTATGTATATGTATATTTGCTATGTATACAAATTTACTAGCCAATGGCGATTCTATTGCCAAGGTGTGCGTAGAGGGCTTTATTATTGGGTTTACAGTTTGTCCATGATAATGGAAAACTTGCGGATTTTGCTTCCAAAGGCATCAGTGGTTTACTCTAGCATCTTCTGTTGTTGCATTTTGCTGGTGCGTGTCATGTTTCAGGAGAGGTGGACGCTGTCCAGTCGCAGATAGCACTGGCACTGAGCGTAAGGTCAACAGGTGTGCTTTCACAAGACATTACTTCGGGAATCATCACTCAGTCAGCAAATGCTGTGCACACGTCCATGTTACTTTTGGATTGCATTTAGAGTTTAACAGAAAAAGCATGAAAGTGAGCCATCCTTTTGTTTCTGTGTCATTCAGTCTACATACTCTCATAATATGTAAATAATTAGGGTAAACATACCTATTAAGCTCACGTATCCATTAAGCACACTTCCATATTTGAGCTCAGATTATAAAAAGACAAAATAATGTATTATCATACTTGATGTAATTTCAAATCAATCAGATCAGTGCACACTGAGATATGAGTCTCCATGTGTTCACACTGTCTGGTGGCCATTTTGAAAGCTGTCTGAAAACTTTCACCAAAAGAGGAGCCCCTTAAATGTGCATTTTTTAGATGTTTAAGCCTTTATTTTGGGTAAGTTTTACTACTTGCTGTGAAATTAAGAGATTAATGTTTATACTTTTGCATATTATAATCTGGAACTTGGATGTGGGAAATAATTACAGTTAGATCCAAAAGATAGTTTTAGCAACATAGTGCAGATGCTACAGAACACAGTTAGCAGACTAGCTGTATAAAATTGTGTGCTACGCTAATATATAACTTCACAGGCATTACTGGCTTGTACTTTTAAATCCATAATATTATAAATTTACAGTTTATTGCTGGTCTGTGGTTTTATACTGCTGTAATTTTTAAAGATTTCATATTA